TCTTCTTTCTTCTTTTCTGGGGCTTCTCCTTTTCCTTTTGTAATCACTAATTCTTTTCAGACTTTAACTTATTGACCTCTTTGCCAACATTCTAAAATTTTCCTTTCTTATATATTTTAAGCCTTAACTGACAAAAGGCTTGATCTCTTTCATTCTGAACTTGTTTTCACAGAGCTCGAGTCACGCCTAGGCCTACGGCCCATCACATCAAACATAATTGATTTCATTGTACATATATGTTCATTGTACATATATGTTAATTCCTAAAAACTATCTGACGCTGTTCAAAACACTTGGCAGAAAGCAAGGAAAAGAAATACAGACTCCGTTCTTTTTTGGCCTAGCAACGTGCACGAAAACAAGAACAGCAACTATAGAAATTTCCGGMAAAATTTGAACTTCAGGAAGTCTTTAGAAGTCTTCAAATCGACTTAACAATGACACAAAAGTTATTAAAACATCGCAATTCAAAAAGCACAATCCTACAATAAGCACCTTGTCGATATTAATCAACAGATACCAGTACAAGCACCAGCAAGATCGTGAGAAAATTCGAGCTCATCTTTGATCGAAGTTCTTTGACTCAGTGTGTCTTTGTTAAATTAAGTAAAATATTTTTAAATTTCAAAAAGGATTTTTTGCAGCTCGAGTCCTCGCGGTAAATAATTAAATCATAGCCAAAACCAGACTAAACCAACATGTTTTACCTATTGTTGTCAATCCCTTCTTTCGTATAAATACAGAATACTTTTCTTTACTCAATTYTACCTTTAATGCGCTATTCATTCACTATACAGTTTACAGCCTTTTTTGTTGAAAGTAAGTGTTTATAGTGTTAATAATTTAGTCGATCTTTTCCGGGTCCTGTGGAGARGGAGGCGGAACGGGCGAGGGACTTCTGTTCACATAGTAATTTGTAAAGAAAACGGTTCAACGTGGAAAATGAAAAAAAAGGCGTTCTAAGACTGAAGATTTGTACTGCAAAATATTCACTGAAGGAAGGAAAAAACCAGTCTTAGAAGAAARAAGAATCAAAGAATATATAACTGCAAAAATGATTTGGAAATTATTAAAAAGAGAAAGAAATGATAATGGAAAGAGTCTAGACAACTGATTTGAATGATTTTCACCCCAAATTGTGTTCCTTTRTATTTTAGTAAATTTAATTTTTGAATTTGGAGTCTTATAAAGGGATTTGTTCTTCTGGTTTAAATACAGAGGTTGAATTTTGTTTATCGTTGCTTTATATTTTAGTAAATTTAATTTTTGAATTTGGAGTCTTATAAAGGGATTTGTTCTTCTGGTTTAAATACACAGGTTGAATATTGTTTATCTTTGCCAAATATATGTGTAAGGTTTATATTTCTTTATAACACGACGAAACTCAAACCGCACATCATTTRTTCAGGGTTGAAATACAAATGTTGAACTTGCCAAATATATGKGTATGACTTATTCACCAAATAAAGCTATCAAACACATCATTAAGGAGGAAATAAACAGCTAGTCGTGTTTAATTAACAGATCATAGTATTGAATGATTATAATTTTGYTGTATACGAAGAGTGRATAGCGCTTTGCRATGGATAAATCTTATCCAGTAATAAATCTATTGGATAATAGCATCGACTTATCCACTGGATAAGGATTTATCCGTTGGGTAGCGCTATCCAACCTTCGYACAACCAGGCCCAGGTTAAGATATAACATTGTAGTGCTCAATGAGCTAKTCAGTGAAAGGTTGATGATTTAGTATAGCTGAAAAAAGCTCATTATTTTATCCGCATACTTCATCTTCGCATGGATGGATCAAGTCAGAAAAGTAAGCTTCTATGGWGAATTCCCCTACACTCTCATCAAAAATAAAAACATGCGTAGGCCGAAAATGGCGGTGAACTGTATGAGGCATGAAGATCTGCCAGGGGACATGCTTGTCTTGCGGGTRCCTAAAAATGAGCAGGCTTCGCGAGAGAGCAAGTCATTAACTTTCATTACCCTCCTTAACAGGTACACAGTCGTTGTCTTCACCTCAGAAATAAAATCTTGTATGGTGCACAGGCGCGCAATGATTTCATCGCGGAGACTTGAATGGATGCTGAATGATGATGATGTGGATGATGATAGATTTGTGAGGAGAGAAGAGAAGAGAAGAGAAGAGAGAGAAGATCCATTTATGTATATTTTTGATCAGTTCTTATATTAACAAATTGATTCATCGCCACGCGCGCACGTTCGACAATCAAAACTGAACTACAGAATGTTCCATTCGTCTATTTTGGTRTCTTGCTGGCAGACTTTCACAGCATAAGCTAAATATCTGCACCTGTACATACGAAGCTAACTCAATCTGCCAGTGTGCGCTAAATAAAATCAAACAAGAGTAAATATACAATGTTCTGTCTAATTTCCATCTGCACCTTTTCTTCTGCAGCTGGAAGTCTTGCTCTTCTTGTTTGATGTTGTCGTACTTGTGGTTTTTCTAATTTTTCTGGTTTTTCTTTTTTCAGTTTCGTTCTACTTGTTTCACAAGTGTTGATTTGTGTTGCTATTGTTGTTCTTTAATTTTTCTTCTATCGAACTTGTTTTACAATAACTGAACCTTGCCGTTAAATTCTGAGTGTTTTTCATAGCTGCTTTATGCTTTATCCATGAGACCCATTTGTTTTCCTATGATGTGGTGCCTGTTTCTGCCTTTGTTTGCTTTCAAGRTGTTTTTACCATGAGCTAGGCTAGGATAAAATTACCGATTCTTTCTTAAGCTTAAAAACAGAACTTAAAAATCACAGTCACAAAAAAAAGCTGCTTGAGATTTTTTTGAACGAAGGAATCAATTATTGTTCTTTGCGGCCTATTCAACCACAAATTTCTCAAGAAAACTTAACAGCAAGAAATAATACCGCCTTCACTGCTTTTTATCTTTATTTTGTTAAATTATTATTTTCGTTTGCAAAGACATGCATTCTTTTCTGTGCATTTGACATCGCATGACTCGTGTCAATGAGAAAATAACAAATACGACAACCTGCCACACCTAACACGTACGATTATATATTTCATACACGATTCTCAAACCTCAGCTATTATGTRAAACAAAGGTTGTCAATCAGGTCGATCTTGTGTGAATTTGAAGACTTTGGGCCATCTTTTCTAGTTCTTTGTGATACAGCAATTTTACTTCGCTCGTGCGTYGTAATGATAATGATATAATGAAGATAATGATAATTGATAATTAAGATTCAAGTGCGCATGACTGCATCYACCAGTAAACCGACCTACCCCCCTTTCACACTATGGATTTATCAGCCAGTTCTCAATTGCATGATAACTTATTGAAATTCGAATTTCGTTAATTTTGTTTTATGTCATTATCATTTTAAAATTTCACTAGAATGACAAAATGAGTGCTTGAAAAAAGATAATGCAAACTGAAGAAGTAGAATCGAGGAAAAGAAGGAAGTAGTAGTAGTATAGGAGAAGAAGAAGAAGAAGAAGAAGAAGAAGAAGAAGAAGAAGAAGAAGAAGATCGAAGAAAAAAGCTCCTCACATTCAGTTTTATACTTCTTCTTCAGCTCGTATTTATGAACATACAAATTTTGATATATATTCAATAAATTAATATTATTAATTTGATTATTTTCCAGTGTTACGTATACATAACACCCTTCGTATAAAATTGTTGGTTTTGCTCAAAGATAAATTACCACTTTAACTGAAGTCTTCATCAAAATCAAAACTGTTTGTATTCCCAACTTTCTCGCGCTTAATTCTCACGCCAGGTTTCTGTTACACGAAATTCTTTCAGGCTTTATATGGCGATAGCGTGTTTCTGTTACACGGAATTCTTTCATGTTTTATATGGCGATAGTGTGTTTAACGATATTCCCGTCTTAATGGTGATAGCGTTTGTAACGATATTCCAAATTGAAAGCGCCTCCGCAGTCCTGAAGTGCCGAACGTCCAGCTTGCTCAGAGGCCGTCGGTCTTTCATTGTACGAAAACACCTGACTACTTAATTATTAATTGAAACGCGTTTTGTAAATGAAATCAATAGCACAACCGTGTGAGAAGTGTGGCCACTTCTGTAGATTATACTCTACCCACCCACCCCTCCCCCCGTACAAAACACAGACGTTTTTGAGATATATTTTCTTAGCCACCTTAATTGTTTGCAGAGCACCTCGTACTTGAAGTGAAGACAGCTTTGAATGCCTTTATTTTTAGAGTTGTTACAAAGAAACTGGTCTAAAGTTTAGGGGGGACGAAGGAGAAGGAGAAGGAGAAGCAGTTGGAGAAGGAGAAGGAGAAGGAGAAGGAGAAGGAGAAGGAGAAGAGGTAATCTTCACTATAAAGCGAAAAATAATTTGGCTTTTTGAGATATCATACAATTGACATTCATAAAAATATAAATATTCATCTAAATTATATCGCTTAGCTAAGAACTCATGCAAGGTGGTTGAACCTACGGTGTAAGGTACCAGTAGACGTACTCAGGTAGAGGTAGTAGTTGCCATAGCAACCATTGTTTGCAGGCGCTAACCTTAACCGACAACTTTTCTTTGTTTTACAGTGATTCAGAAAACTATCTACGATTATGCAAGGATAAAAGACCCTCAAAAACCATCAGAATAAACAGAGGTGCATGCAATCATTCTTTGAGAAAGTTTACCCAATTGGAAAATCTTTGAGTAGAGTTTGTTAGGTCTCTCCCTTGATTAGAGGGGTTTGTTCGGGTTCTCAGCACTCTTTTTCACCCTCCGTAAAACACCAACAGGCTAATTTCCAATACAATGATATTCAATCAATTATTGTAGAGGTTGTTTACAGGGTTCGATTAGTGAGTTAGCCGTATCCTGACATTGTTCAGCCTAGAGGTTGTTCCAGTGTTCGATCTGTGTGTTTCAAACCCTCTGTTGCTCATGATAGGCCAAATACCCTGACTTAGAGCAGGTGTTGTTTTAAAATTCAATCTGTGCCGCCGCGTTAGCCATGCCCTGACTTAGATTAGCACAGAGGTTGTTTCAGGGATTGATCTGCAGTGAGTTAACTGTGCCCTGACTTAGATCAGCCCAGAGGTTGTTCCAGTGTTCGATCTGTGAATACGTTARCCATGCCCTGACTTGGACCAGCCCAGAGGTTGTTCCAAKGTTYGATYCGGGTTCAATCTGTGAGTTAACTGCGTCCTGACTTTGATCATCACATGCAGAAATTGTTTTAGCCATCGATAAAACGTGAAATATTTTTGGTTATGTATTGACGTCGTATAAAAAACGATGTTGAATAAATCACTTCAAGAATAAACATCCCTCTTGAGATATATTGGTCCAACATGTAAGAGAGAGACAATTTGAAACTGAACTTAAAATCAAATCAATTATATCGGCACGTATCGGGAACTCAAGGACAAATAGGAAGTAGATTTATGGCTTTATAAATATTTTCTTAAGATTATGTAACCTCTGTATTACGGACAAAAACCTGTATTACTTGGTTGCCCGCTTTAAGAATTTATCAAGATATTATRAGGTAAAACCACGATGAAAAAGTAGAAAATCTTGTAACTTATAAAATAGAATGAGGGGGCGATTGAACGAATTTATTCGAAAGAGGCTTTCTTTGTTTTATGGTTTGAGGTTACGTTGAATCACYAAGTCAACGAAGTGTATATGTCCAGGGGAGGGGTGGTAGGGTATTTGCTCTTACAAACTGAAATGCAGGGGGAGGGGAGGGTACGATACTATTGGTCTTGTCATTCATTTCTGTCAAAGTTGTCAATTTGTAAGAATGAAAAGTCTAGTCATTCATAAATTCGCTTATTTGACTTGGCAACATGCAAATTAACATAAGATAACCGAGGCTCTTGGCATTAAGTATAATTTATAATTGAAAAAAAAAAAAAACGACAAAAAATTAATTTAGAATATTTTTTTCAAAGTTAGAAGAAAATAATTATTGACATGAAAAGTGCAAATGTGAAAAGAAAGGAAGAAGAAAGGTTAATTTTATGAGTGAATGTTGGCTAAAATGCTTTTAAAACGTGGTTTCATTGCAGGCTGTTGAACTAACTTTTATCTCGCAATCCAAGTGGGGGTCAAACTGTCTGCGAGCTCCCGCAAGCCTCTGTGTTTATGCGTTTGTGGCTTATCTGTCGAWTTTGTTGGCCTCTGAGGCCAGAGAACTATTCCAGTGTCGATAAAATACGAGAATCTCTGCCTTAAACGATTGATCTGCTTGAGAACCTGCGTCTAAGTTGGCAACTTCGCAATAAACTACTGAATTTTTTTTGTGATTAATAGAGTTTCTTCTCTAGATCTCCTGGGGAGCAAAGATTTTGAAACTAGAATATTCCATCCTCTTACAGCAATAAGATGCCAGGTCATAGAGTTAAGCTATTGGAAGTCTTTTCGTTCCGGCATGGCTGCCCCACTAAAGATCACGCAATCTTTGCGGGGAACATTTTCCCCGCCAAGCTTGAGGGCAAGATTTCGGGGCATTTATTAACATCGTCTTGAGGGTGTACAACATTTACCTTTTAAAATAGTTATTTGACTTTAAAAGATAAACTTAAATGTCTTTGAATAGTCGATGTATTTGTAATTTGGATCGATAGTCGGGGGCGAGCACTGAGGGGGGTAGTAATATCGATATATAGGTTTTTAGAAGCTTGGCAATGCAGGGGATCATGCTATTGAATTACAATAAGGAATTCCATTCGCTTCGACCAATGAGTTCTGGAATAAAGAATCGTTTAGATAGAGCAAAGAGATAGCAATTAAACTTGGTTTGCTAGATAGAGTTCTCTCGCGACGGAAGGGAACGAAAGCACTAACCGACGAATCTGTCTCGAGGCAAAAAAATAACAAGGTTGACGAGTTTCGTTTGGACACTGATATATTCCAATAGATATTCAAATGTTTAGATTATAATGAGTTATATAAGTGTGTACTTGATTGTCAAAACTCTGTTTGTTGGTCTTAAAAAGCGCTAAAGAGATTGGAGTCTTCGGGCGCTTCAATTGCAGATGGTTGTACCGAGAGAAGCGAGTGCTGAGATAACTTGCTGTGCTCGCGCGCTGTGAGAGAAATTGTTTCAATGCAAATTTGATTGAATCGTCGGCTTATATTGAAAAAGACTCGGCAGGGTGTTCAGATGGCTGGAGCTACCTCAAACACAGCTTCAATGCAATACCCACAGAGCGCGGCCACAGCGCATGTCTTACCCAACTCTGCGCCTGCGTATTGGACTCAATTAATGTAACGCCGAACGAGTGAGCGATGCTTAGTAGCGCGATTGTAATCATTCGCCAATACACATCAGCACACACGACACGGTGGATCGTGGAGAGTTAGATTATTCGCCACAAGCTAGTCCTATGTCTTTGTAGGGCGATCGGGACTCGCATATTCTCGAAGTGAGCACTACATAAGATGGAGCTAGCCAGCTTTCCACATATTATAATAAAAACAGAGCCCATGGAAGTATGCTCTAGTCAAATGTCAGGACACTCAAGACGGCCTAGCAGAGAATCTGAATTTATGTCTAGTAGACGCAGTCACGATAGAGTTTCTTTGGACTTAACCGACAGCTTGGCTAGTTTGCCAACAGATCGCTCAAGGTGTAATAATGAGTCTCAGAGCGTACAGCKTAGTGAAGAGATCAGAGAGAGACATTTGTGGACGTCGCCTGACGCGAGAGACAGGACTAATAGTACTACAGTAAGTCGTAGTAACGAGACTTATGTGAGTAGTAACAGARAATCCAGTGAAAGTACCTACGTCTCATTCCCGGCTTACAGGCCCGAACTGATCGGCGCGGCGACCGATAATTCTTACTCCGACTCCGAAGATTCTTATAACGGAGATTCCGATATTAGCGGAACAAGCGAAAAATATTTCCAAAAGGACAGTAGCACAAAGGTGAATACGAGTGTCCCTACTGAGAGTTCTCTAGCTGTCAACACTACACGGAGCAAAGAAAACTATTCAGAACAGAGATATATCATTCCTGGTATTCCCGGTGGCTCTAAAAATGGAATCAACGTCGTGTTTCGAAAACATCAGACGGACTCAAATCCCAAAAGTAGTTCAAGTATCGTGGCGTCTAKATCGTCAATGGAGTCGTTACGTGATTTGCGTGGTGAGCTCACGAGTACTAGAGAATCGGAAATTCCTTCATCTATGGTGTACCCTGCACGTTCATATTATCCTAACACAACTTGCATCAAGAGCGTCGTCCGTGAGGATCATAGTCCTTTCGTTTATCCTCGAAGCACAGAGCCCCGTCCGACATACACAGCTTTAAAGCCCRAAGACAGAGTACTAGTGTGCCGTTGGGTTACCAATAAACTGGAGCTATGTGGAATGGTCTTCTACAGGATCGAAGACCTCGTTTCTCATATAACTGATGGTCATCTAGTCACAGGCGCTGTCTCAGAATTCGTGTGCAATTGGAAGGATTGCGCTCGTAAAGGCATGCCATTTAAAGCTAAGTATAAATTGATAAATCACATTCGAGTACATACCGGTGAAAAGCCATTTACATGTTCAGAAAATGGGTGTGGAAAAAGCTTCGCCCGAGCTGAAAATCTCAAAATCCATATCCGAACTCACACAGGAGAAAGACCATTTGCTTGCGAATTCCAGGGCTGTGATAAACGCTTCGCAAACTCGAGTGATAGACGAAAACATATACATGTCCACACGTTAGAGAAGCCTTACGCTTGTAGGTTCGTGGGCTGTGATAAAAACTATACCCATCCGAGCTCTCTCCGAAAGCATATGAAAGTACACGGCGCGGCGAGTAAATCCGAGCTACAGTACAGCTCCAGCAGACCCAACTACTTTGACGAACATAGAATTGATATTTAAAATGAAGACACTTGAATAAAGTATCAGGCTAACGATTGCCATAGGTARAGAGCTCAGTACTGAGGTATGCTTTCAAATACCCCAAAATCATYCATGCAACTGACCTGGCTTTTCGCTACCTTTTGGCTCCAACTTGACTTCGTTCATTATTAGGATCTCCAAAATAGCATTCAGTAAATTTATAGGGGCTTGGTCCTTGAGGAAGCTTGCATTTTTTTGGGACAATTCTTAGCTGTTTTTTTTGGCATGATGTGAAAACAATGAAAAACGATTTGTTGCGCATCAAAGCACTGTATCAATCCAAATAAAAGCAACAATTTGATTAATTGCGAAGTTTACAATTTGGCTTTTAACTCTCTGTTCACGGAGTTAAATTTTAATGCTTTGAGAAAGCTTAAAAATAGTGGCAAAAGAGAGTAAACTTATAAAATTCTATGCCCACTCTTTTGAAAAAGTGAGTCGGTGAGAGTCCTAAGAATACTTGTACATAATAATAAAAGTTGTATGAGAGCGACTTAGAATTAAATGCGACAACGAACAATGTTGAAAAGCATGGAAAAACTTTAATGAAGAGAGTATTTATGGTGGTTTTATGAACAAAGGAAAATAAYCTTACATTTATTAAGGAATATATTGTAGGAATGATATAAGAGAATGACTCGAATATAAATTAATAAAGTAAGTCTAAGAATAGATGAATTTTGAGAACATGGTTCTGTTCAATTTTATTTATGAATATCTATAAGAGGAATCGACAAAAATGGTATTAAAAAGACTTTCTCATGATTTGAAAATTGGTTTGTTATTTAGTTTAAAATTTCAAACTACAAGATCACGGTTATGAAGAGAGTCAAGAAGGAAGTAAGATGGAAAAAGGGTGGTCAGAGAAAGGTAAAGGGCAGTGAAGATAGAACCACATAGGGTTTATAAACAGCAACAAGACTTGAAGACAGACCTCACCAAGTTGCAAGAAGGACAAGAACAGCCTATGAAACAACGACTTTCTTGACAAGAAGTGGTAGTTTTCTTATGAAACCTTGGCGTAGAACCATACAAGTTTAACTGTCACGGAATCGGGTAGCGCGTAGTGTAGAAAGTAATGGTAAATAAGTTTATTCGAAAAAAAAAAAAATGGATAGCCTACTTATCTACAAATTGAGTTTGATTTTGAAGAAATCTTAAAGGAATTATCCCACGTAAAACATTAGAAATCCATAAAGACTCTATATCTATCAKTATATACAGAAAAATACTTTTTGGTTGGGAAACAGATTTCAACTCCAATTCCTTGTGAACATTAGCACGCTTTCTGCATCCTTTTTTGTATGTGTTCGCACTTCTCAGTTATTTTGAAGCCAAAATTTTGAAACTGAATTAGCGTTTCCCAACTTGTTGGAGCTAATATTTATACCTAGCTCTCAGATCATAGCGACGAGAGAAAGTTTTTTTTTTTGAGTAACAGAATCTATCTTTTTCTATAATTGATTAAGTTTCTTTTTTCGTTTCTTTTGTGTTTTTTTTTCCTTCGTCCAACTTATTTGTGGTGTCGGAACTTACTGGGATTCACTGGGATTCGTTTTTTTTTTATCGAAATGAATTCTTCCGGTCATTGCGAAGGTAATCCAATTCTATTTGTGTTCACCACTCGATGACAAACTTTGCTTCTTGTTATCGTCTTGGAATACATCGCAAAATGTTGTGCAAAACGCTACGAAAACCACCCTGTGAAGTAGTTGAAACAGTGCCTGAATTTACAAATACACTGGTCAATGTTTTGGTACGTTTTAAGAATATGTTTTGAAGAATAATTCATAGTTTTTTGGTTGACTTTTGTCTGTTTCTGCATAAATTAACTCTCTAGGAGGTTTTCCTTAAATCGTTCATTTTGATCGGCGCTGTGTTAATTGATAGAAAAGTGTTATTCCTGAAGGCAGGAGGTCGTTCAACAACCAATGAGTGAGCGACCAGTGCAAACATATAGCTTAACGACTTGTCATCGHGTCTTGGTGTTTGCCAACCAGGTGAGCGAAGTGAGTGACAAGCCAACGAGCCGGACTCAAAAGACAACAATAGCTCCAGGGAAGCTGCCTTAGACGTCTATTGTCCATTCTTGGCCTTTGTAAACGAGCCATTCACAAGGCCATATAAACAGATCCTTCTCAGATAGGGGTTGCAGATAATTTCTTTCCGAAGGCTTCCTGACAAGGGCTTTATCTTGATTTCAATATAATCGTTCTTTAAGTAAAATATATGTGACAAATAGACCATTAACTCTCTGTTGTTTTAAAGTAAACTGCTCTCAAGTCGAAGGTCCATTTATATGAACTAAAAGACCCTTTTGARGAGAGTCATTTCTTGAAGCAGAAAACTCGACGCTAAAACAAATCATTTGCTCCCACGCGAGGGGGTCACTTAATCAACTTGATACGCCACCCGCCAAGGTAATGACGTTGGTAGCTATATTTAAACTCGAAAAATATTTATAGGGGGAGAAGAAATTGAGAAATAAGAAATTATGAAATAAAATTTTAAAGGCAATTATAAAATATAAGGCAATTATGGAATAAAATTGATTGGGATGGTTTTGGCRGGGGTGGGGTGGGGAGGTAATGATACAAAGTCGTACCTTAGGGAGGGAGGGAGAGTAAGGGAACTGTCAATATGATTTTCACCATCACTTGAAAGGACAGACATTACTTGTAACGAAAAACTACTTCGGCCGGGTCCAAAGTAAAAAGCCGTTTATTGTGTAAGAATTTTTTCCATTTCTCTGCAGGACAGTCAAAATTTTAGATACAATTCTTTAAAGTTTAGGTTTAATTATTGAAACATTATGCAATTTTCAGCGGTTTTCAGTGAGCGGTTGGATCCGTAAACAAGTCAAAATTTAGAAGCTCTGTTGAGGATTTAGAGTTGAATTTTCACTTAGAATTGGAACCGGAAACAATGGCATGAGAGTTGTACCTTATAAGCGGGATTGGGAGCGGGATTGGGAGCGGGATGGGGAGCGGGATGGGGAGCGGGATGGGGAGAGGGATGTGGAGCGGGAGGATGGGGAGCAGGATGGGGAGCGGGGGGAGAGGAGGGAAGTGAATGGAAAAAGGAAGGAAAGGAATGGAAGCGGGTCGTGGATGATCATGATATTTTTTTGAACATATTCTTTTCTTAAATATGTTATTTRTGTTTTCGGGAAAAAATTCCGAGCTCCAGGTAGGAAAAATAAGCTTGAAGAAACACAAATAACTGAAATCTTTAATAGCTATTCAAGCAGCAAACGCACCTTAATCAATTATTTATTTATTTATTTTTTGTTTTGAAAATGGATTGGAATGGACGAGAAGGAGAGAGTGCGGTAAAAAGAGCAGGTTTCCATGGAAACCATACACATAATCGAAAAATGGTGACCAATTTTGAAGAATAATAACAATAATAATAATAATAATAATATAGCAGTTCTTATAGGCATTGCGACGTCTCAATGCCTTTACAGAAATCCAAAAACTCTCCAAAAATCCATAAGAAAATTATATACATTCATAACAATCTTAAAAATATAGCTCCTAATAAATTAAAATAAAAKAAAATAATAACAGTTAGAATATATATAAATATGTATATAATTATGAATCAATCATGTTTATAAAGGTGTGCTTTGAGTGWTTTTGAAAAAAATAAATCCAAAGAGGTTAAGTGTCTAATGTCTTTTGGAAGGTCACAGTAACTAATATGGACTAATAAATACTAATAACTATTGTTGTGAAAAYGCTTTTATGTTTCCATGTGAACACGAGGCTAGTAAGTCGATAGTCAGTGTAAAGCAATAGTTTTTTAAATTGGTCGCTATTTTTYGTTCTAAGGYGTCTGGAACGGTCACTTGAGGGGAAAGGAAGATGGCGTACAAACAACCATGGTTAAGACTTATTTCTTTTAAGAAATTACCCATTTCGTTGCTCTTCACTTCACGAGCAGATCAAAAAATAAAATAAATAAAGCGTACAAGGTTCCTTAAAATAATTACTCTTTGATTACGTTTTATCATCAGTATCTCAGTATTTCAAGGGTCCAATAAACTACAAGATCGATCAAAGTCACGAAAAGGCAAACTCATAGGAATAGAATTTAGTTTRATGGTGTCGGATGAAAAGGAGAAAACCGTAGAAACAGTAAAAACGCCCCCGAATAACAAAACCGACTAAACAAGGGATAGAGTAAAGCACAGGCCTTGACAAGTTGCTTTGAAGAATTTGAATACAAGATAAAACTAAGACTGCATTTATACGGCTTGCCGGGGGGAGGAGTGGGGGG